TTGCAGGAGGTGGGACGACGAGCCTCGCTGCCGGAATGAAGAGTGGCTTGCTGACTGGGTGCTCTGGAGCGATAGGAAGGGAGTGTGGAGTCCACAGCAGCAGCGGAAGGTGTGTGGACAGTCCAGCTCCAGGGGGCCGGACCCTCATTATATCCACCTGTGTGGGGCTATTCATATATGAATACCCCTACATCTAGCATCCACTTTGATTTAAGGTGAATTCTATCTGAATGCAAATTGAATGGGGTTAGTCAATAGCCTTGAAATCTTAAAGTTCTGCACTGCTGAAACAAAGCAGCTGTGAAACTGTCAAACCCCGTGAATGGATATTATATACATAATGTGAAATAACTATAAAATAATCTGAATGCCAAATTAAAAATAAATAAGGACTCAAAACTTCTGCAAGTTTTCTTGCTATTTAAAATCTATTATTTTCCAAAAATATATTTCAGTGATGATGATTCTTCCAGGGGAAGAAATGTAAGTCCAAAGCAAGGAAGGCAAGGATAAGATGATATTTCTGGAATTCAATAAATAAATAAATAAAATAAAATAAAAAGAAGACAAAAACATAGCACCTTAAATACAGTGGGGTCTCTACCGTATTGGAAGGTGGTTCTCAAGTTGAAAGGTTCTTATGTTGAATCTGCATTTCCCATAGGAATGCATTGAAAACCATTTAATCCGTATCTGCTCTTTTCCGTCCATAGAAACTACAGTGGAACCTCTACTTAAGAACTTAATCCGTTTTGGAATGGTGTTCTTAAGTTGAAACGTTCTTAAGTTGAAGCAAAATTTCCCATAGGAATGGACTGAAAACCAATTAATCCGTTCTGGCTGCTTTTTTGTTATGTAGAGGTGCGTTCGTACATTGAAGCATTAGTTCCCATAGGAACTAATGCAAAGCTGCTTAATACGTACTCTACCACTAGGGGGAGAATTTTTTTTTAACCTAAGATGACCTAAGGTTAAAAAAAGAGCAGGAAAGGTTTTTTTTTTCCTGTTCTTATCTTGGATTTCTGTTCTCAAGTAGAAGCAAAATTTAGCAAATGGAGCTGTTCTTAAGTTGGATTGTTCTTAAGTAGGGACGTTCTTAAGTAGAGACCCCACTGTACTAACTTCTTCACTCTGAGGAAGTGGACTTGTCCACCAAAAGGTAAAGGTAAAGGTTCCCCTTGACAATTTTTGTCCAGTCGTGTTCGACTCTAGGGGGCGGTGCTCATCCCCGTTTCCAAGCCATGGAGCTAGCGTTTTGTCCGAAGACAATCTTCCGTGGTCACATGGCCAGTGCGACTTAGACACGGAACGCTGTTACCTTCCCACCGAGGTGATCCCTATTGATCTACTTGCATTTGCATGCTTTCGAACCGCTAGGTTGGCGGGAGCTGGGACAAGCGACGGGCGCTCACTCTGTCGCGTGGCTTCGATCTTACGACTGCTAGTCTTCTGACCCTGCAGCACAGGCTTCTGCGGTTTAGCCCACAGCGCCACCACATCCCTCTACTTTGTCCACCAAAGCTCATATTAAAATATAGCAATTAGTCTTTAAGATGCCATATTTTTTGTCTTTTTTAAAAATTTGTTTTAACCTGATATGCTGGCACAGACTAGCATGGTTACCTCCTCTAAAACTACCTTTGTACGGACTCGGATGATTTGACTGATTACTAATAAGTGAAAAGTATAATGCCAATAATTGTAGCAAGTGGTGACCAGAATCCTATTAGTTAATTAAACTGGATTAAGTGCAGTGGTGTTAACTGTAGTCAATAGTGAATTGCCACTAGTTATCAAGCCACCTCTTGTATCTCTTATTACACATAACCCACACAGGTTGGGGCATGATGAATAGAAAGTCCAAATCATCAACTAGTGGTAATATGGTGCAGCAATTTATGCCACTGCACTTATGTGGCATGACTATTCAATATACAACACTGTTCATTTATAGTTTTTCTGAAAAGTAGTAATTACCCAGTGGAACTCCTGGAGAACCAAAAAGTTCTGTAAGTTGAACTGCAAATCTTAGTGATAAAGGAAGCCTCAAAAACTTGGAATTAGTACTTAAAGGATTTTGATAATCTCTTATTTGGGAATGTGCTGTTTGCTCAGTTTCATTAAATTGTTGTATACTTTCTAAGGTTTTCACAGCAGAGTCTATAAGGCATCCAGAAATTTCTTTAATGGAACAAAGAATATCTGGCTGCATGGTTGAAACATCAGGAGGTATTTTATCTTGCTTTTCTTCTGTGTTAGTTTCCATAATTTGATTTAAAGGAACAATCTGTTGTTCACCAGGTGAGGAAGCTTTACCAGAAGCAGAAGTGGACATCTGAATGTTTACTGTGTCATAACTAAACTGTGCTGAAAATCCATAGCAGCCAAGGCTTGCCTTCTTTGTAATAGTCTCTTTATTTGAAATTCCCTCTTGTTTCATCAGTATACCCACTTCCTTTATAATTTCCTTATCATTTTTAACAGCAATCTGCCTTGGGAAATCAAAATTTGGGGCCAATTTAAAGATCCTCTTGCATCTTCTGTTTTTTCTTGGGGAAGCTAACATGGTTGCATCAGACGGAATGCTGGCTTTAGTTCTGGATTCAGTGGGAAAATCACCTACTGCAATGCATGACATCGCGCAAGTGTTTTCCATCAACAGTGATGGTACTGCGTAATGTCTTATATCACTTTTCTCAAGTAACATTTTACCATCTTCCTGTTCCACTGATATTTTACTAGATTTAAAATCACTTAATTCTTTTGTTATTTTTGAAAAGTTCTGCTTGGATCTTCTCTCCTTCTTTGGTATTTGCTCATACATGATTACTTGCAAGACCTCAGGCCAAGGCAAGCATTTGTTTTCATCAGAGTATGCCTCTTGCTGTTTCTTAAGTGTGTCAATAGAAAAGAAAGCCCAGGAATTCATTTCAATATTATGTGATGCCTTATGCTGAAACACAGTTACTTCTTCCCTATGGCTTAACAAACTACTTTCTACACCCTGTTTAAGCACAACTCCAGCAGCTTTATCTTTATCTCCTGCACTTCCCACAGAAGTACAGTTATCTGTACCACTGTTGCTCAGTTTTAGAGTACTCTGATTGTTATACTCCAAAATACTGCTGTCACTTTTTACAAAGTTTAAACGTTGGGTCCCATGTAACTGAAATGATTGTTCAGCTACATTTTTATCTGTAACAGATGGCAAATTCATTAGAGATAAATTACTATCTTTTGCAAGACCATTAGTGTTCAGTGAATGGCCTGAAGCTACTGAATCCATCATACTGCTATCAAGGAAGGTTCCGTTTTGCAGCTCAGAGTATTTTAGACCACTGTCTTCAGCAAAGCCATCCACACTCTCCTTTTTATGCTCAGTTGGATATCCAGTCACAAATGCTGATTTTCCATTATCTTCCAAATCTTCCTGTCCACTCCATGATGAGTCGTCATCACTTGGACTGAAATCCACGTCTGATCTCTTCCCTATTGCTTTAGTAGCAACAGCCTTCATTTTTTTGTTCCTCTTTCGTTTCCTCTTCTTTTTCGTCTTGTAGAACCTGTGTGGCTTCTTCACAACCGATTCCCTAAATGGAATAAAGAACTAAATATGAACAAGTTATTAAAGATAATCTTGATAAAGTATCAATTGCACAGGTAAGAGTCTAGTCTATAATCTGTTTATTTCTGGAATGAACAAACTACTATGTGGTCATGCTCATTAATAATTATCATAGCAAAACAAAACTTTAAAAAACACTATTAAATAATTCAGTTTTCCCTCCAAGTTTGTACTTAAAGCCCAACACCTAGATACCTAGAATGGAATGGTTGATCAGTCATAGAACAGGCTATTGGAGTTCACCAAATTAAGGGACTGATAGGCTCAGATACTTGCATTTGAGCCAAAACATGATAGTGTTCATAACAACAAAAGACACCACTACCACATATACAAACAAAATGAAATTTGGTCTCTTTGAAAACCGAATAGAAGGATAATGAAAACAGTATATACTTACTTTTATTAATTACATTAATTACTACTTTTTGATTATCAAGTGAACAAGCACAGGGCTTTTGTAATGAGTGCCCCTCCACCCTTAACACTTTAAAAAATGGATTAATGATAAAGTTGGAGATTCTACCAGTCTTTGAAGTCAGGCATTATACTTGGAGAATTAAATGTTGCACTATTTAGTTTTTAAGGAGGTTCTGTATTTAGGCTGCAGTCCTAAACAAACTGAATAGAGAATAAATCCTAGTAAATCAGTGGGACTTATTTCTAGGTCAGTGTTCCCCAGACTTGGGTAACCCAGGTGTTCTTGGACTGCAGTTCTCAGAAGACTTCACTACCAGCTGTGCTGGCCAGGGTTTCTGGGAGTTGCAGTTCAAAAACGCCTGGTTTACCCAAGGTTGAGAAACACTGGCCTAGGTAAACATGCAGAGACGTACTGAAATCCTGTTGTACAATTGTGTGCACTTAAATTTTGATGATGTCGTTTGCCACAGACACTAATCTTTATTTTAAAGTTTCATATGCCCCACCCTCAAATTCTGAGACTCTCTAGGAACCTCTTTTGAGTGCCTGGGGACAAAGGTTGGAAATCCCTTATTGCTCAAAAATTGTAGTGGTGATTAACACCAGTGATTTTCAGGTATTAAAGTCCCCCCACTTCACTAACTCCAATGCTATCAAAGGCCTTCCAAAGTTGAAAGGGTTCCCTGAGGTAGGTAGAAACCCTTAAAATAAAGATTAGCATCTACAGCTGACAACATTGTCAGGATTTACATGCATGCAGTTACGCAGCAAGATTTCTGTATAGTTTGTTACTCACAAAACAACTTCTGTATCTACCCTGCTTTAAGGGACATGAGTCTGTATTTCAAGGTGGCTCTGAATCTTTGAAACAAACATATATGAAAAGCTCACTTGTGTTTCAATCAGTGTCCCAGCAATGACAACAGGACTCAGGTGCCCTTAAGATGCAAGTCTAAGAACAGTAATGAGATTAGAATTAGCTTGAAAATACAGATGCCATATACCGAAGAACTTCAACATCCAGTGTAGTTGTGGCTCTCAAATTATATACTTGCAATTACTGACCATTTCACCTTATTAAAAGTGACTCCTTTCTTGGAATTGGGCCTCCAAGAGCTTAGAAGAATGTTTGAGCTCTTTAAAAAGCAGCACAGTCAATCTGCAAGGTTGTTATCCACGCTAAATTACATCTTAGTAACTCAGAAGGAATGCTTATCTTTAGCTAACTAGACTATGCCCCAACTATATTGTGCTATTACCTTTTATCAGTGACTACTTAATGCTGCTGGATGGTCAATGCTTGAGAAGGTACAACTAATCTAACCCTCAGAATCTGGCCTTATCTACAACGACATGTTAAATAAGTTAAACAAACAAACAAATACTTGGGTAGTAATTGTTAGTTCCTGCAGCGTTTCAGAAATGCTACAACAAATTCAAAACCTGCAATTTTTAATCACTTTTTTTCTATTTTGTAAGACTACAGAATGCAACCAGTATGAATTTGTCTTGATCTGAACCTACATTTTACTTTGAAGTCAAACTGAGGAAAATATTTTATTTCCCACAATCATGGAATTTATGAAAATCAGATTATTTGATCTCAAGCGCATGGGCCAAGATCTAATGATACACATTTGTATTCCATCCTATTTGAAATCAGATTTTTGTTTCCATCATTCCCTGCCTCGTAATTTGCTTGTTCCATCTTCTTCAGCAAAAGAGAATGGAGATTTTTTTTAAAAAATCTGTTTTAGAGGATTTCCTAGACTTCCCAAAAAGTATTTTAAGGTACGTGGAGGAAAGGGGGATTGCTCACTCTGGTGACAGGAGTGGGATCCATTAGAGTTGCAGTTTTGGATTCTCTGCACAGACTCCTAAAATTAAGCCTTAGTTCAAACAAAACATTTTTAAACAAAACACACATCCATTCTTTTAAGATGGTTAATGTAATCTTACATATATCTAATAGAAAATAGTTTCTGTTGATCAATAAAAGGTTGATCAATACAATATGTATTTATTTATTTGCGGCCCCTCTCCCAAAGATATAAAGTGGCTCATTTCATTATTTCAAAAATTATGAAGTACTGAAAATAAAATCGAATGCCCCAAAAGTTAAGTGTACAAGACATGCCATTTTTATTCTGAAACAGAATAAAACAGTGAAGTCTAATGGAGACCTGCAACGTAAGGCTACTCATTGATCTTTCTTTGCTACTGGATTTGCTGCCAATCACCATAACAAGGAACATTCTTAAACCTCCTGACAGTGACACCAGAAAAACAAGGGAGACTTCTCTGTGCCAGGACTCAGCTTGAACTCATTGCCCCAGGAGATCATGCAGAGCTTTTTTGTTTGCTGTTCAACATCCATTCAGTTTGTCTTGTCAGTTTGATGTAATATTTCATCTCTCATCCCACCTGGTAATCACCTTTGGAATGTTTTGGAAGGAAATCTGCTTAAATGAAGTCCAAACTCAAAATGTTTGATTAGCTACCAAGATATTTGTTTGAATACCGTTAAACTTCAACTGTCTTGCTTTGCTTAATTAAACAGTAAGTGGCCAGCTCAACAGCAATCACTATTCATATCTATACCCTACCCTCTTGATAGGAAATTACATGGCTCTATTGATTTTCTTTCTCCCGCATTATCAGATATTCTGTGTGTTCTCATTGCCACCAAACCTTTAAAAATTCAAAGGTGCTATCCTCACTACACCCAGTTCTTTCGTCATGCACTTTTTTGTCTGTTCATCCTTCAGTAGTGGGAGAAGTGAAATATTAAAACAAAAAGTCATTCTGTTTTATAACTAAGGATGATGCAGCTCCTTTCATGCAAGGAGCAAGAAGTGCAAAACTGATTCTTGAACAATCATAATTCATTTTCAAAGGAAGACACATTCATACAGGTACAACTGCATCATACTGATGAATAGGAAGTACAAGAGGCAGGTTGCTTCAAGATACTGGTGCACAGATTAAAGGGTACAGATACATAGTATTAAATCTTTGTAAGCATTACTTGTAACATATCAAAGTTACTTAACTTGATATTTGTAACTATCTCCACTACTGGAAGACATCTGGACTGCAACATGTTAAACAAATTAGTCAGCAAAGAATCATTCAAAATTTTAGATTTAATAAAATTTTGATTAAAAATTACATGTACATTTCGTAGTAAACATTAAAAACAGGACACAAAATCACAAAGCATTAATGAACCAGAATTTATTCCTCACTTTGATTCTGAATTATAACTGATTGCAGCTAAGTTTCTTCTGTTTAACTCAATAAAACAATACATGGAACAGAACGCTCTGCAAGTGCAAACCTTCAAGAAACAAAAGTGAGCACGCATAGACTGTTAGGAAAATATCTAAACAAAAGTACCTCTCAAAAGATAATACTGCTAGTTACTAAGAAAAATGTTGGGTCAAAAAGGTGATTCAGTGCTTTAGTGCCGGATTCTGTAATGTGGAAAGATCTCCCTTAATTGCTCTGATCCAGATATCACAGTGGTCCTATACATAGTGAACAACTGATATTCATTTGCAATCCTTACTGGCTTCAGCAAAGAAGGATGAACCCAGAGATTTCCCTGTATGCAAGCAGGTAATTATTAGAGGTGGCTGCATATAGGCATGGAGCCATCTACAGTGGAGGGACAAGGTCATAGCCTAAAGATGTTACCCTAGACTGAATGTGTTAGAGTAAACCTTCGTAATTAGTCTTTTGACACAGTTCTGCAAACATGCTGAAGACCTATCTATACACTCATTGCAATTCCAGACACACAGGATAACTTTTGCCTTATCTTTAGGTCAGGACTGCCAATTTAAATGTTTTTATTTTGCACAATTTAAACACAGACCTCTGGTGTGTTATGCAATATATGCTAGATCTTGTATAATTTTATTTTTCAAAAATAAGAATTTGAAGACACTACTTTCTTTTCAGGTATAATTAAAGAACTGGCAAATAATTTAATGACCTTGGTATTCTCTTGAAGGACAAGGGAAGAGGCAATATTCAATCAGACAGTGGTCCCTTATATCTAAAGGCATGTTTATCTGGAAGACCCCCTAGATCTTTTTAGAACATGCAGGTTCGTCAAGCTAGAAGTGGGGCTATCTGAAACCAAGGTATACCATTAAGTCAATCTAGGCTAGTAGAGCAGCTCTCTAAAGTGTTCAGATACAGTCTAAGCACAGTCTTCCCCTCCTCTCTCTACTACAGGCAGCTTAATTGACCCTTTTCACCAAAGCAAAGGTGATATATCTATGAAATCCTGACAAACGTGAAATAATAGAGGAAAGGACTTTCCATGAGAAAGTTCCCTATAAATGTATGAGACTGTGGAGGCAAAAACAAAATGAAAAGAAACATACCACCAGTCCACCGCACAATTTCACAGTTAATTTCAGCCTCTTGTTATTTTTATCCCATCTTTCTCCCAAAAAGGGACCACCCAGAGGCTCTTTGCATTTCAGCTTTCTCCTCATTTTGTAACACCAGGGCTTTAATTCTTTAAACAAGCTGAATGCAATTTATGTAGAGATCTATACTTTATTACTTATAGGTGGAATCCAAGTTTAGTCACACTTAAGAGCAGATCTACAAAATCTGTGGTACTTTAGTTACAACTAATGTAAGCCCCATAGATTTCAGTGCATTTTCTTGTAGTGACTAAGCCCAGTGGCATGTTTATTTGGAAGACCCCCTAGATCTTTTTAGAACATGCAGGTTTGTCAAGCTAGAAGTGGGGCTATCTGAAACCAAGGTATACCACTAAGTCAATCTAGCCTAGTAGAGCAGCTCTCTAAAGTGTTCAGATACAGTCTAAGCACAGTCTTCCCCTCCTCTCTCTACTACAGGCAGCTTAATTGACCCTTTTCACCAAAGCAAAGGTGACATATCTATGAAATCCTGACAAAGTGAAATAATAGAGAAAGGACTTTCTATGAGAAAGTTCTCTATAAATGTATGAGACTGTGGAGGCAAAAACAAAATGAAAAGAAACATACCACCAGTCCACCGCACAATTTCACAGTTAATTTCAGCCTCTTGTTATTTTTATCCCATCTTTCTCCCAAAAAGGGACCACCCAGAGGCTCTCTGCATTTCAGCTTTCTCCTCATTTTGTAACACCAGGGCTTTAATTCTTTAAACAAGCTGAATGCAATTTATGTAGAGATCTATACTTTATTACTTATAGGTGGAATCCAAGTTTAGTCACACTTAAGAGCAGATCTACAAAATCTGTGGTACTTTAGTTACAACTAATGTAAGCCCCATAGATTTCAGTGCATTTTCTTGTAGTGACTAAGCCCAGTTCCAAACTACAGTGGTGCCTCGCTTAACGAGCGCACCATTTAACGACGAATCCGCATAGCGATCTATTTTTTTAGATTGCTAATGTGATCGCATTGCAATGTTCTGAATAGGCAAAACATCGCATTGCGATGATCGGTAAGCGTTTCGCTTACCAATCTTCTCATTGCGATGTTTTTTTAAACAGCTGATTGGCGGTTCCAAAATGGCCACCGCAAGTGTTTTCACACCCTGCCCTCGCTTACCGAGGGCGTGAAAATGGGGGCGCTATGGAGGAACTTCGCTGGACAGTGAGTTTGGGAGCCATAGGGATGCATTAAACGAAGTTTAATGCGTTCCTATGGCTTTTTCTGTTCAGTTTAGCGATGTTTCTGTATAGCGACGATTAATTCGGAGTGGATTAACATTGCTATGCGGAGCACCACTGTAGTATGCTTTTATCATTCCTGTGCTTTTTAGAAAAGTGTTTTTTCATGGAGCTTGAACAGACATTCATGATACGGTAAGCCTAGCTCTTCTTACATATAGTCAGTAAATCAACAGTACATGTTGCTAGAATAAGACTGCCAAACAGTCTTTGCACTGTGCATTTTAAGCTTTTTAAATGTAGTTTAGAAATACATCAGCAGTAAATTAAACATAATGGAGCAGTAAAACTATTTCATACCTCATTCTGAAGAGCACTAAAGAAGGGGTAAAGGAAGTTACCATTTAAGTTTTTCACATGAACATTCTTCTTGTCAGTGATTGTAAGCAGAGTTCTACAACGTATAAGACATTATATTTACTTAAATAGGATTATGTTTTTGTAAGTTGTTCTATGACCACAATTTTGAAGTTTACTTTTTCTTCAGCATTCCTTTAATTTAGTGAGTCAGGCCAAATACAAAAAGAAAGAAAATGTGATTGTTGATATACTCATATACTAATGGGAAAAATGCCAAAAATTGAAATGTTTATAGTAGTGGTCTCCAGAGAAGCAGATGAGCAGGAAAGTACCCCTGTTTGCCCACTCATTGTTTCTTTGCATGGATAAGAGAAAACATTGCCTGTCATTATGCGAGAACTACTCTGTGCTTCCGCAGATAGGACTAATGCAGAGTTGTCATATTTTGAGGGGTCTTAAGAAACCCCTTAGAAGAGCAGTGGTGGAATCTGAGGACAATGGCCTCTGGGGATGGGAGAGAGAATTTATAGAACTGAATAAGCCATTTCTGTATTATTTTATACCTCTAGATGTTAAGGGATTTAATCATGTTATGTACATGTATGCACAAAATACAATGCTCAGAACACAAAGTCAGCCTTTTTAAACAGTGTGTAAAGCAATAGAACTGAATAAGCCATTTCTGTATTATTTATACCTCTAGATGTTAAGAGATTTAATCATGTTATGTACATGTATTCACAAAATACAATGTTCAGAACACAAAGTCAGCCTTTTCAAACAGTGTGTAAAGCAATTTTATTTTTTTTTATCAGTGACTGGAAAACTTGATGTTTTGTATTAGATTTACTATTGAAACAGTGTGTAAATAAATGTATTTTAGAAACAAAGATGTAATCAGATATTTCCCAACAATTCTGTTAACCAACAAATGAAGATTCTTGATGCAAGGATGGGGAATCTTTGGCCCCTAGATGTTTTGGTCTACAGCACCCACAAGCCCTGACATTGAGTGAGGCTGGTAAGGGTTATAGGCAACATTTGGATGGCCAGAAGTTCCCTGCATCTGTCCTAATGGATTACAAATGCATTTTGGTATTTTAATTGAACAAAAGCTGTAAAGCTCATTGGTCTACAGCACCCACAAGCCCTGACATTGAGTGAGGCTGGTAAGGGTTATAGGCAACATTTGGAAAGCCATCTGTTCTAATGGATTACAAATGCATTTTAGTATTTTAATTGAACAAAAGCTATAAAGCTCGAACACAAGACACTTACTGTATTTCACCAACATTGGATTGCTCAGACAATACTAGAAGAGCATGTAAAACTGGGTGAGACAAGAGGCAAACATCTACTGGAATTTCACTACATAGTTAAACCAAAATTAGCACATACTCTATTCCAGCTTGACCTCAAGCATCTAATGAAATAAGTACTGTCTGTGTCACAACTGTAAAACAATATGTTTTTCTAAAACTGATGAGTGTCTATATATGTGTACAGTTCCATTTTTTTCCAACATGTTTAAGACTTGCAACTTCTTTCCATAACAAATCTGTATCATTAAACCAGAAAAAGACCAAGTTTCATATAGCACATTACTGTAAAGTTAGAAAACAATATAGGTCTTAGTAAAACTCAAGAACAAGCATGTAAAACTAGATGCTGCATGCAGATGTGAAGAAATCAGATTTTAGCTTTTATCGTAAGCTGAATTGTTCGCAAGTAGGGTCATTCTTAAGTCGAGACCCCACTGTATAGGTCTTAGTAAAACTCAAGTACAAGCATGTAAAACTACATGCTGCATGCAGATGTAAAGAAATCAGATTTTAGCTTTTGAGTTGTAATTACCATTTATCCAGCTCACTAGAAAGACAAACTTCAACATAAGCGAAATAAAAATATGAAAACTTCGATTTATCCAATGTTGACATTATCCGGAAATATAACTGATATAAAATCATTAGAACCATTACTGCTACTAAAAGCACCAAAAATAAATGATTCAAATTAAACATCTATATTAAGGAAGATTCTTCTGGTTACCTGCACGTATTTTTATTTTAAATCATTATGTTTATAATACTTTTTAACCATACAGTTCATAAAGAAACTGCTCAGCAATTTCAAATATAGACAAAAACTCTCATGTTAAAAGACAATAATGAACTACATAGCATATCCACACAAAGACGTTCATTAAAACCAAGATTAGTACAAATGTAAAAATTTATTTAACATTCTCTTTTAGTATTAAATATTTACATTTATAAACAATTTCCAAGTAGTTATCTGTATTAAGAATATTTAAACCTTGAAAGAAAGTAGTTGAATAGTCTGATGGCTGTTCAGTATTTAGTAAAGCTAGCTCAAGCCTACTGATTTCAACAGATTTAGATACATACTAAATTAGTGGGTTTTTTAAAAATAAAGAGTTGGCCTTAGTTAAGAGTTCCCTGAGTTATCAGACACACTATTATCAGCTATTTGATACAGTGAAATTATTCCAAGAGTCTGAATAGCCTTCCCACCTCTGTCTTCTTTGTGGAGGTGGCCTTTGTGAAGTTTTATGAAAAGGCAACACCGAATTCATGACAATGGGTACTGACATGTGATATTCATATCTTTCCAGCATTTGAACAATCTTCTCACGACTGACCCCATGTTTGTTCCTCCTACAAGACAAGAAATTAAGTTCATGTTTGGGCAACATAACAGAATCCCTCTAAATACTATCAAAATCTCGTTAATGACTTTGTCAAAGCCAAGCCTCGTATTCTATCTACTAGCCCACCGATGAAAATCCAATTTAGCATCAGTTTTGAATAGGAAATATTAACAGCTTCTCTTTCCTCATATCTGCAGTTTTCTTGTGGTTCTTAAGAGCAAAGAAAAACCCCAACAACACAAACTGGAAGCAATCCAGGACCAAGTAGTTATGTGGGAGCAATAAAAGAAGCAAAGAGGGGTGTATTTATGGTATTTTGCCTCAAACTGCTTGATGCTTGAAACTGAGGTTATCACCCTATGGCTGACTGACTGGTTGGTTTTTCTTAGTTTTTGCCATGAGCATGGAGCTCTGTAAACAGCCTGCTAGTCTGAGCAAACTAACAATCCAAAGCAAGAAAACAGAAGGAACAGATAAGGGACTTCAGGTGAATTCCATTTCTGAATAGAGATATAACACATATGTGGTGGTCAAAGAGGCCATTGTGTCAAACAAACTAAAAACAAGGAAAAAGACACCTCCATGAATCACTGTGGAAAAAAAAAGACAATACTAGTTTCCCAAAATATTACTTGCTGTTCCGGTATTACTGTGTGACTTAATTTCCCTTCATATAGACTGAGTAATTGCATGTTCCTAATCAAAAGAGTTTCCAAACATTTCTTAAAGTAACATAGGGTAATTTCATAGGGCTGGTTGCCTCATTTACCAAAATTCACTGAGAATGTTCCATCACATTGTCCACATACTTTGCCCTATAATGGCTTATTCAGCCATGCTGCTACCATTTATGCTGATACAGCAAACGTAGGCCTATTCCAAGGGGAACACACACCTTGTTTTACAACATATCTGTACTCCAGATCCACCACTGTATGTGCAATAAGGAAAGGTATGCATTAACTGTGTAATATGTTTACAACCAGAAGCCGTTTTTCTTTCTTTCTTAGCAGCACCAGGAAATCTGAACTGACAGAAATGGAGACTTGGAGTGTTAAAATAAAAAATGCATTTGCCCGCCCCACCCTAAACCAAAGTAAGGATAAGGAGTGAGGTGAACAAGTTTGTGAAGTACACTGAATTATTTAGGGGTGATTAAACAAAAATTCAACTACAGAAAGTTCCAAAAGAATAGTTTCAAACTGGAGGAAGAATAGTATGTTGGCAAATGTTCAGTGTAATGCAGGCAAAAATAAAATAATTTTTTAAAAAAACTCATTACTTCACATATATGCTAATGAGAGTCTGAACTGGCACTGGTTGGCAAGAAAAGGGATGCTAACATTATTGTGAATAGCTTTAAAAAATTCCAACTCAGTTTTGTTTTTATTAAAAACAAACTAACAGTTCTGGCTGGCTATTGCTTTTTGAAGGTCTATTACACCATTAAAAATTACAAATAAGACAAACTTTTGAGTTTTACCAGATTTTTCATGAGGCAAAGGTGATATAAAACTTGAGGACAGTGAAGAATGGGCAGAACATTTGGCCCATTAGAAAAAAAAATTGCTTCTAGCCCTACCTCCAAGTTTTACACCAACTCACCTCCCCTATTTTTTAATGGAAAAAAAAATACTTGGGGGCCAGTAGAGACACAAGGCGGCTTTTCAGTTTATAGACATTGTGTCAACCTGAATTTTTTTTGTAAGAAAAATCAGGTTGACAGGCACAGAGACAGGTCTCTAAAAGATGGGAATGTTTCCCTTGGACTTCTGAAAATACAGTGGTGCCTCGCTTAACGATGTTAATTGGTTCAAAAAACACATTGCTATGGGAAAACATTGTTAAGCGAAACACCATTTCCCATAGGAATGCATTGAAAACCAGTTAATCCATTCCAATGGGAACGGATTACCATCGCGAAAATCCCCATAGGAAACATCGCTAAGTGAAATAATGTTTCCCCCATCGGAAAGCCATTGAAAAGCATTGAGTCGGCTTCAATGCTTTTCAATGGATTTTCCGATGTCCGTTTTCGCTCATTTTTAAGTGTCTTAAAATGTTTGAAACCTGTTTCAAATGCTTGGAATCGGTAGTGCACCTTGTGAAACCTATGCA